CAGAACCCTTGCCCTGTGCCCATTCCATCAGTCTACATATCTGGTGGTGGTGGCCCTTATGGCTTGTTAAAGCTGTTCGAAGTCAGACTCGGTGGCACACACCTGTATCCCAGCAGTCTGGGAGGCTGGGCAGGAAGATCATAAGTTCAAGCCCAGGCTGGGCAACTTAGTGACTTATCAAGACCCTGTCTCAAAATAAAAAAGGGGCTGAGGATGTAGGTCAGTGTAAAGGCTCTGGGCTCCATCCCCAGTACTAAAAAGAAAAAGGCTATGTTCTGACCAGCGGTGCTGATTGGTGCACTGGCCAGGGCATCTTCGTTGTTTGCCTGCTATTCTCACAGTGCCACCTATGCTATGTTCAGGTTCTCCACTGCCCAGGCTCTCTGGTATCTGTGCACCTGGCTGTTGTCAGCACTGACACCTGTCCCCATCTGCAGGGGGGCTTGCTGTCAGCTGGTGCTCTGGGTGTCCTACTGCATGCCCCTCCCGCACGCAGTGCTCAATGTGTGAACACCCTCAGCTCCTTGGCTCTGTCACCCCCAAGGACTCAAGACAGAGTTCCCATGTCTTGAATTGTGTCCTCCTCCTTCCCAGCCCTCTAGCTGCCTGCGCCTCCTCTTTCCTCTCCAGCCTCCTCTTCACAGCGCCAGGATCCTTGGCTGTGACCGTGTGGTGTCTGCCGCTGGATAGGCGCCTTTCTCGCTCCTCCACCACCTTCCAGCACCTCCCCCAACCAAGTGGCGCACACCAGAAATGTCATGGTGGCAGCTGTCCCAGAGGGGAAGAGCCTGAAGCATGAGGTCATGGGTTCACCACATCCCCAGCACCTCCTGAAAGGTGCCCACAAAAAGCCCTTGGTGTGCGGGAGGTGGAAGCCCAGGAGGAGTTGGGGGCTACACAAGGCCCAGTTAGAGGCCGCTGAGTGGGGGTGGCCAAAGCAAGGCAGCTGCTGCGGCTTCCCTGGGGATACCAGCTGGCCCAGCCCTGCAGGCCGATGGGGTGATGCCACCGCTGGCCTGGTGTTTGTTCAGGCGGCAGGCAGGCTTTGCTGCTCCCATGAGGGGAATAAACCATCCTGCTCCTCTGGGCACTCAGGGCCCGGCCCACCTCAAACTCTGTCTGTGGAAATTCAGAATAACAGCTCCTCACTGGAACCAGAAAGGGACTTGGAGATTGTAAATTAGCGAGCAGGGGCCTCTGGAACCTGGGGGGCAGGATGGGGGAGCCACTCCTTAACCCACAGGGAACCACGAGGGAACCTCACTCCTGCTTGCAGTTATTCAGCAACCAGGTGGGAGTTTCATTCCAGTAATACAGATGCTTAGGCCAAGCTAGCCTGTTCCCCCATTGAGCGACCAGCACTTTTGGGGGGGGCCTGATACTGAGCAGCTAGTGTGAATGCACCCCAGCCCCCTCTTTAGGGTGACATCATGAATCTCCCTGGGGACTAGGTACCTGTATCCCTCGAGCCACCTTGACTTAGAGTTTCCATGATACTTTTCACTGGTATTTTCCTGTTTGTCTGTTACCGATTCCCTCTCATGGAGAGTGATCTTCAGCAGGGCAGGACCTCGTTGGTCTTGCTTACTTTTGATCCCTCATTGCTGGCACTGAACACATTTATGCAATGACTAAACAACACGTTCCATCTCGGGGCCTGCTGGGCTTCATCATCTTAGAATGAGGGACATACAGGAGGAACTTCCCCGGTATGGCTCTGAGAAGGTGCTTATGAATGACAGGAATGCATAGACCCCCATGAAGAGACCAGGAACTTTTCCTCTCAGCCCCAGGAAGACCTTGGTGCCTGTAAAATAGCCTGTCACACATTTTTGCCCCTTACTTCCAGAAGTTGTGCCCCAAGCTTCCTCCATCTACAGCAGTGCTTCTCAAGCTTCCATGTGTGGGCAGCACACCTGGGAATCCAGTGAAGACAGGTTCTGATTCAGCTGGGTGGGGGCCTGGGAATCTGCATTTCTTGTAAGCTCCTGCATGAAGCCAGTGCTGCTGGTCATGCTTTGAGTAGTGGGGTCTGTGGGAGTCCAGTATTCCTATGTTTCTCTGCATCTACACATCCTCTTCTATATTCTGAAAGCAAACTGCAAGTATCCCCTGGCCTCTCTGACACTGCAATGGCAGCAGAAACACCCAAATGACTCCCAGAATTTGGAGGCAGACTGATTTACATCAACGGGCACTGATCGGGATCATTCCCAGAATATCAGGCCTTGATCTCTGGTGACCTAGGGCCTTTTTATTGTGCACAAGCAAGAGGTACAAAGGTGAGGAAGAACAGCCTGGCAGTTCTTCCAATTAGCTAGCAGGGTGAGATCATCAGTTACAAGGGTAGATTAATAATCATCAGTTCATTGTACAATGGTACAATCAGGCATTTTGTATGTTTGGTTATGCTCTTGTGGTTACAGGGGTCAAGAAAGTGATTACAAAGGCATGAAACAGTTACAGGGCTAGGCAGTTTCAAAAGAACAAAGTTTTACAAAGAACAATTTATCTTGTACAGTTTTTCCATGTCAACACAAAAGGTACTGCTGAGCGTGGCTGAGTGCCACTCAGCAGGTGGGCTGCAGAAGCAGGACCCAGGAGACTGGGTGCCAATCAGCTCTGCCACTGCTGAAAATGACTTTCAGCAAATCACATCCTTACTCTGGGCCGCACTATCCTCTCTGTCAAGTTAGGCTTGAGCCTGGGGTCTGTTCCAGCCATGACTTTCTATGAGAAATAACAAACACATAGCATAGTCTGTGCACCTCTTTATGCATGAATTCATTTAATCATCGTAACAACCCACAGGGAAAAGTGCTGGCACTATCACCATTTTACAGAAGGGAAACTGAAGCAGAGGGAGTTTCAAATTTGCCTGAGATCACAGATCTAGAATAGCAGCAATGAGATGGAAGCCAGACAGCTCCCTCCAGAATCCATGGTCTTAACCATTGTACTTAACTGCCCTTGACAAGCCCCTACCAGGAATGACTGCACACCCATAAAACCACTTACTCTGGGTATTCTCAAAACAAGACATCTTTCTCATGGACTTCAGCTCTCATAGTTAATTCTGTGCAATTTCAAGAGTCTGGCTTGGCCAGAGCCCCACAGAACACAAGGAGCCCTTCCAGGACTCAAACTCTGGCATGCATCAAGTGCCCTAAGCATGGCGTGGACAATGGTTCTGGAGCCTGGTGGGTTTGACAAGCGCCTCTGGGCTCCTCTGGACAGCTCTGCAGGAGCCACTGGAGCCACGGTGTCTGGGTGTCATGGTCTGCCTGGATACACACATCGCCCTGGCTCTGGGCCACTGGGGCTTCCCTCCAGGACATTCGCAGTATCTTCCCCGGAGGCAGGGTTGTACCTGTCAGTGCCTGAGCTTTTGTGTGTCTCATACTCGTTGGTTTGAGAAGGGTGGGAAGCAAACTCATGCTCTGTTTCATAAGGTTACTTACCCTTCTGATCTCACAGACAGGGCCCAAAGGAAAACATCAAATTGAGCATTTCAGATGTAGTCTGGGGGCCGAAGTTGGACAGTGTTTGTCGTAGTTATTGCCTCATCACTGGCACACAATACCTGACACTTGCAACTTAAAGGAAAAGAAGTTTATTTTGGTTTTAGAAGCGTCTGTCCCTGCATGGTCGGTGGCAGGGGCTGGGAGGAGAAAAGCTGCTCGTGTCAGAGGGAGAGGAAAGGCTGAGCCAGGGAGGGAGATAAACCCTTCCCCGTTGGCTGCCAGTGACCCTCCTTTTCCTCTCAGACCCCAGCTCTTAGCACCAAACAGGTGTAGGGTCCCTATAACCCAGTGGTGGTGAACCTATGGCACACATGTTCTTTTTCAAGACAAAAAATGTTAATATATTTGTTTTTTCTAAACTAAAACCTCAGTCTTCAGGTTTATTTGCAGTGTTGGCACTTCATGATAAATAAGTGGGCTTGGGGTTGCAGTTTGGGCGCTCAGCTTGAAAAGGTTCGCCATCACTGCTGTAATCCAGTCACCTTCCACAACCCCTGCCCCTGAGTGCATGAGGCTTTAGAGGGTATCCAGATATAAACCATAGCATCATCTTTGAATGATGGCTATATTTTACTTGGATATCAATGAAGTCAAACTTCTATAAAAATCACCACAGGCTAAAGGGTATCTCTAAGCCGGTCAACTAGTTTCCCTTGATTCTGATCAGTTCCATGCACCTTGTGCAGGGAGCTGCTTCCAGCCCACTGTTGCCTTACTCTGAACTTACTCAGCCCCACATGGGGCACTCACAGGTCCTGATGTGGTTGGGACTGTCCCCAGCTAAAGTTGCCATATTCCCAGCCTGCCCAGGACAAGAGCCCCAGGGGCATCTGGAGCCTTCCTCTCTGCCACCTTGGACCTCCGGCACTCAGAAGTACTCCCCCGTGTGGGCTGACTGAAATGTGGCTTTGGCCCCTTCTAGTATGAAGCTGGTCTGGAACATGACACATGTACCAAGTGGGTCATTTATGGCAACTTCTTTATGGGTATATTGGAAAGTTTGAAGCCAACCTGTCAGTTTTCTATGTGATTGATGAAGAGTTCGTGCTTAACAGAAAAAATAAGCTAAAATTATTTGGCTGCCTCATAAAATTGCTTAGAAAACCCCTCTTTTATCAGGTGAGTGACCAATTCACATGGCTCAGTGAAAATAATTTTTTGTCATATTCTTCATCAGTGGGTAAGGTCAGACTGTACCAAATGACAGAAAAAGAGCCGGGTGTTCTGTATGAGGTGGTATTATAGAAAAACCTTGGTAGATTGGACAGTATTTCCAGCAGTGGGCCATCCTGGAGCTGGGCAGGGATGCTGCCTGGGGGACCTGGCGCTGGTGCCTGGCATACATCTTGGCACACGCGTGGGCTCCAATCCAGTTTCTCAGCCTATCTGTTGTGCCTCTGTGCTCCAAGGCTACCGCCAGTAGCTGCCTCCTGCTTACCTTCAAAGCACATTAATGGATCCTCTTTTTCTTCTCAGGAAGTTTCTAAAAATCTCACCAAGGAAAATGAGCAAATCAAAGGGGACGTGGAAGAAATTCGAATGGAGATAAACAAGCGTGGCAAAGAGAACTGCTCCGGTAACATCCTGGACAGCATGCCAGACATCCGCGCAGCCCTGCAGAGGGATGCAGCGGCTGCCTACGCCCACCCTGAGGTACAGCACCAACTTCCAAGGGCCTCATGTCACAGTGCCCTGAAGCACTATTCCAGCATCCCTCATTTGCATAGAGCTTTTCGAGGTTCAGTACTTTCACAGTCGTGGTCTTGTTATATCTGTCAGTAGTTCTGTAAGTGTAATGGAAAAGAGTTGGCTATATCTTACTTGAAGCCCAGACAGTCTCAGTGGATGTTAAAACCAGGACTGAAATCTGGATTTTCTGAGTCCCGGCCCCATGTTTTCCTGATATCTCATCCGGCCTTAGTGAGCAGCCTTGCACTTGTAAAGGAGGACACATGTGCTGCCTTGTCTGAATTCACTCCTATTGTCCCAGCATCATTAATAGTATCATTTTTTCCTCTAGATGTCCCACCTTGGAAATAATAAGTAATGTTATCCTGCTAGGAATAAGGGACTTAGTGATTTACTACATACTTTCATCAGTAACTTTTCACCACTAACCTGTGTGGTCTTTAGCACAGCTCTCAAAAGCAGGCTAGGTAGAGCTCAGTACTCCCATTTAAAGATGAGGACCCAGATCTTCAGATATTTATGGTCTCTCTAGCTCATTTTGGAAGTGGTGACAGAAGATCTCAAACCTCTGTCTCTTCCCTCCCAGTTGTTTCTCTAGCATGAAGTCCATTGCATGAAATGGAACAATCTAATGTAATTTGAATGATGGCAAAAGACCTACTTGCTTAAAAATGGCTCCCATAGTCAGGCATGGAGGCCTAGACCTATAATCCAAGCACTCTGGGAGGCTGAAGCAGGGGTATTGCAAGTTTGAGCCTACCGTGGGGGCAACTTGGTGACTTAGTGAGACCCTGCCTCAAAAAACAAATTTAAAAAGGGCTAGGGATGTATCTCAGTGCCTATTTCTTTTGCCTCCAGTTACTACTTAGTTATGTTTGCATATTGAGGGTTAAACATGTTACCTTGTACTGGGTTATTTACTAAACTGATGGCTAAGAAATAGGCACTGATTTGGAAGATAATCCAAAAGTATGGAAGAGGGAACAGGTGAATCTTGTGGCAGAAATGGAAGAGTGGTGGAGAAGCGTTATAAAAGGGGCCTCTGGGCAGCTAGAGGACAGCAGCCTTTCAGAAAGACCTTGCATATTTTAAATGCTTACTAAAGGTCTGTGGCAAAGCTGTAGCACACAGGTGTCTAGAGTGTGGTTCCAGGTGTGTTACTAAGGGACCCCTTCAGCCTTAGACAGTTGCTCTGGGTGTGGGTTGAGCAGGCCCTGGTTCAGTTAGAGTCCCTGAGCTGGTTTCTCCATGTGCTATAACATAATGGGTTAGTCAGCTGTCTGTTACTGTCAGAAAATATCTGAGATAATCAACTAAAAAGAAGAAAGGTTTCTTTTGACTCTCAGTTTCAGAGGTTCCTATGTATAGTTGGTTGACCCTATTGCTTTCAGCAAAGAGTACCTGGTGGAGCAAAACTTCAGGGAGGCCAGGAAGTAAAAGGAAAGAAGGAAGGAAGGGATCCCAATATCCCCTCCAGGGCACACCCCCCCTAGTGACCTCACTTCCTCCCACTAAGCCCCACCTCTTAAAGGTCCCACCACCTCCCAATAGCACCATGTTCTGGCAATCAGTCCTTTAACACATGAGCCTTTGGGCAATGTTCCTAATTCACGTTATAGCAGGAAGTAAGGTCTTCTAGGACTTTGCTGCCTTGGTCATTATGAGTTGAGATAAAGAGGAAGAAAGCTCAGATCTCCAAGCAAGCAGCAGCAGTGAGTTTGGGGAATCTTGGGCACTTGTGTTGTGAAGGCAGATTAGGACTTTGAGATGACAAGCTCTAAAAAGTCTTGGTGTCTGTGCCGCTCCAATATGTAACTCAAAATAAAAACAATCCCAACCATAAAATAAATATAGAGATGGCAAGTCATTTCCTGGATTTTTCCCATGATGATTGCACTGATGCTTTGTTGGAAATATTGTTTACCTTCAGAAATTATGTTTATTCTCCTTGTTGGGTGTCTCCAACTCACTGGTTAGTGAGCATGTATTTAGTCTGCTTGGTGGGTCACTCCTGTGGGGGTCTGAGCTCATAACTGAAGAGCCAGAGGATGCTGGGGACAGAAGGGGATGTGAGGCACCCACTCAACACACCTAGGGCCCAGCATCTTTTATCACATCCATCTGGCCTCCTCAGCTTCCATCTGCCCTCTCTGGCTTCCAGTTTCCCAGTCGGCTAGGTGGAGAACTTATCCGTGGTCTTGATGACACATTCTGTGGTATGTTCAGGAACCCAGCTCAGATTTCCTGAGGGCAAACAGCAAACCAAATCAAACACACCAAACTCTCTTTCTCCTTGCTCAGCAAAGTCCTTCCTCTCCCGAGTCCCCATTCAGCACAGTGCTGAAGTTTGCACAATCCGCCCAGACCAGACTAGAGGGCTGGAGAGGGGAAGTGGTGCAGGAGGCCCCAGGGAAGGTGCTTCCTCTCCCGCCACAGCCGTCTGTCTCTTCCGTGAACCCCATGCTGGAAAGGGGGTGGTGGGTTTGGTTGTTTATGTTCAGGGCTCTTGGAATGGCAAATGGTAATTTGTAGGAGGCCTCTCTCCAACATGGCCCTTGCCTGGAGGGTTGGCAGGGGGCTCGGGGCCTGGTTGGGAGTGGAAAGGGCTGGGTAGGAGTGCACTTTCGATGCCAGGAGCTGAAGTCATGCAACAGACTCTGGGATGGACAGAGGGAGGAACTCAAAGCCCGGTAGGGGCTGCTGCCGCCCAGTGCAGCCTGTCGCCAGTGAATCCCAGGAAATTATATGTTCTCTGGCAAAAGCTGTCCATGGTCTTGCTCCATCTCCTTGGCTGGGACACAAAACTGCCATTCCCACCCTCCCCTGAGAGCCTGGAACTAAAGACAGTCCCTGGGGTTTGCCACGAAGAAATGACAACTGGCTTCTGCAATGTAGAGGGAAACCAGGGTGCCGCAATTAAATGCCCCTCCAGTCTGAATCAGGGCTTCGGCTGGGCCTGTCGCCAGCCTCCCAGGCAGCTGTTTCCACTGGGCTTTGAGGGATCCCCCAAGTCTGCTGGGCAGGAGCCAGGCCATGGCCCTGAGGGTGTGGAGATAGAGGCAAGCATTTGAATGCCAAATGATTTAGTCCTGTGGCCAGGATTGTGGGCAGTGTGGCATGATATAAGGAAGAGCACAGTCCCTGAAGGCAGCAGCACTGGGTCTGCTGATAGTTGTGTGACTTAATAAATGCCCATCTGCCGTATAATTTAGAGACTTTAAATTATTAAACAAGGGATGGGAATGTGGCTCAGAGGCAGAGTGCTTACCTAGCGTGGGTGAGGCCCTGGGGTCAATCCCAGCACTGAAAAAAGAATTGCTCATTGTCTCTGAACCTGTTTCTTCATCTGCAAAATGTGGACAACAATATCTACCTTACCCCATTGATGTAAGGTTTAAAAATAAATGAAAGGGACATGGGCATCCTAGGTGCTCCTTGAAATATCATCACAAGTAACTACAAATCCCTTATACCTCGCTGAGGTCACATCACCAGCAAGAATAGGGAATTGAGAGAAAGGTGGCCCAGGGCCCAGTTGGCATATTTCTTCTGGACAGCTCTTAGGCCTGCTGCAGCCCTTGGAGGCTGGCAGGAAGGTGTCCCTGCTTCCCGGGAGTCTGTCATCACTGTGTACTGGGAGAGCAGTGTGCATGTTCGGGAACACACCATCTGCATAAACACCATCTGGATAGACTCTGGTCACGGGAAAATGAGTATAGACTTGGGGGTGTGGCTGGGAATGAGGACTCTGGGTTTCTCCAGGCTCAATTTTAAAGGTCACAACAAGAGCCTGGTTTGCTTTGTCCTGTGCTCAGTAAAGAAGTTGGCCAGGCTCACACGGGGAGCCTGAGGCCCTGCTGTGCCTCAGGCCACTAGTCATCTGGGGACCTGGGGACCTGGGCTCTGTTCCTGGGTCGATTTCCCCAAGCCCTGGAATGATAGGACTTAAGGGAGCTCACCCGCTTTCTCCTGGTGAGAAGGCTTGGGGGTTGATAGCTTAACGGGTGTAGGAAGCCACATTTTCTTCCTTCAGCGTTTGGAGTCCTCAGGACAGCAGGGTTGGGCCACATCCCTCTCAGGTTCCCACATGTCCCTGACCGGCCACTGCTTCTCAGCAGCCTGCCCATCTGTAAGGGGATCCTCACTTTGAGCCCAGCCAGTTCACAGGCCATGGGCCTGCATTCCTTTGCCCTGAGAAGTAGGCGGCTGTAATCCTAGGCTGGACGCGTGACTGGACAGCCCAGCTCAAGATCTAAAGACTTGGGCATGCTGTGGACACAACAGGCCAGTCCTTGGGCAGGAGTTCTGTGAAGGACAAAGTGGTCCTTCTGCACAACCAGAACTGTCACGGCGACGTTTTCAAGATACCCACACAATAAGTCATGGGCTGCCCACCTGAAAGCATCATTTGATTTGCCAGAATTCCAGGAGTGGGCCTTAATCCCAGCTACTTGGGAGGTTAAGGCAGGAGGATAACAAGTTTGAGGCTAGCATGAGCAATTTAGTGAGACCTTGTATCAGATTAGAAATAAAAAGGGCTGAGATTGCAGCTCAGTGGTAGAGGGCTCACCCGTATACATGAGCCCTGGGTTCCATTCCCCAGTACTGCAATACAAAGATAAATATGAGGATGCATCCCGGCAGGGGAATCAAAGATGACTGGGAGGGGTCTCGGCTCTTTCAGGTTCTCTCTGTACATGGACAGCAGCAGAGGAAAGGTGCTGTCATAGAAACGTCTGGTGGGGACTGTGTTCGGTTTTGAGTAAGAGGCCCAGAGACAGTGCCTTAAGCAGTGGGAGGTTTATTGTTCTTTCACAGAATAGAGCTCTGGAGGCCACATTAGCTCGAGACATGGTGACTTCCATCCTCAAAATCCCCTCTTCGTCACAAGGTGGCTGTTCAGCTCCAGCAATTCTGATCACTTTTGGAGCCAGGAAAATGAGGAGGAGAGCAAAAGATGCCTCCTAGCTTCATCAGTGCTTCTTTTAGAGAACTCCAAATCTCTACCAGCTTCTGTCTATACCTCACTGGCTAGAACTCAGTCCACATTCATGCCCGTCAAACCCATGTCTGTCAGTGAGGAACAAGGGGCAGAGATTTAGGGAGTCGGAAGTGTCTGCCACAAAGAGAAGGGTGCAGAAGCTCTAGAGTATTTCCTTGGAGACCTGAGATTGTAGCTGGGCCTGGAGAAACAAGGAGATTTTGGTAAAAGGCTATGTATGGGATGTAAGGGTTTTCCAGACAAAAACAGCCCAAGCATATATCCAGCTGCTCAGGAGAGCCAAGAGGTCCAGGAGTGAGCCAGACCACTGGGGCATGGGGAAGGGCAAGACAGAAAGGTGGAAGCCAGGTGTGGTGGCACATGCCCATAATCCCAGCACCCAAGAGGCTGAAGTAGGAGGATCCCCATGAGTTTGAGGCCAACTTGAGGTACATAGTAATTTCAAAACCAGCCTGAACTATATAGTGAGACCCTGTTTCAAAAAACTGAGAGAAAGCGGCCGAGGGTGTATGGGTATGCAGAGCTGGGTCTAAGTCAGTTTTTAAGAGCTCTGATCACCTGGTCCAGGATTTTGGACTTTATTGCTTTATTCTGCATGCTAGAGAGATGTTTGGGGGCTAGAGTGATGGGTGTTTTAGAAAGCCTAAACTGTCAGGCTTCATCTAGAGGTGATGGGCACTTTGGTCCTCAGGGTTCATGGCCCACCTGGCACCCTGCTCTTCACACTGGGCTCACTGGAAGCATCTTAGATCTAAGTCCCCCAGGATTCCCAGGCCTGGGTTAGAGCTGGGAAGACCACAACACACTCTGCACAGAGTAGTGTCGAGGTCAGAGATACTGATGCTAGAGCCAGACTGCCTGGGTTGAAATCCTGCCTCTGCCATTTACCATTGTGAGGCCCCTTTGGAGCAGTTTACATGCCTCTGTATCCTTGACTGCACATGAGTATGGTCAAAATGAGTCCACTGCATAGGGCTGATGAAAAGTTCCAAGTAGCCCGCACATGTACACATACAGAAAGCACCGAGGCTGGGATCCAGCCCTTGAGAACGCTGCTGTTGCTGGCAGGGCTTCTGCCTGGCCACACTTTCTCTGACCAGAAAGGTCTTCCTTTGTGTCCCCTCCTTGGAGCAGTATGAAGAGCGGTTTCTGCAGGAGGAGACCGTGTCCCAGCAGATCAACTCCATCCAGCTCCTGCAGACGCAGCCCCTGTCCCCGCCTAAGGTGGTGAAGCCACAGCGGCCCCTGCGGAGGCAGGTCCACCTGAGGGGCCAGCCAGCCTCCAAGCCCACCATCATCCGGGGCATCACCTATTATAAAGCTAAGGTCTCTGAGGAAGAGAACGACATTGAAGAGCAGCGTGAGTTGGGGCCTACAGAGGCTGGGAAGGGCGGGAGTTGCCATCTGGACCACATGGAGAGTGATTGCCCGGCAGCCTTCTCTAGTCTGATTCCTGCCGTGGCCCCGCACTGTAGTTATGCACAGTTACGTTGCGTTTCCTTACACCTTGCTGAGTGGCCTTGGGCAAGTCAGTTACCCTCTCTGGGCTTGCTGAACCATGCAGCAGAGCTTGGATGAGCAGGAAGGGACTTCAATGCCCTCTAGTCTAGTCCTTCCTGTTTGTAGCGGCCACATGGCAGGCTTCTGCCACCCTGTTCTTTTCTGTAGGCCCTGAGATGTCTGAGTCACCAAAATCTCCCCTTATGTTTCACAGAATGTAGATTAGCCCTCTCCCCATCATTTATTTGTTTTGTTTATTTTTTATTTTGAGACAAGGTCTCAATATGTTGCTCAGGCTGAACTTGAACTTGCAGCCTTCCTGCTTCAGGCTACCAGTGTACTGGGATTACAGGCGCGTGTCCCCACACTCAGCTCCTCTCAGCCTTCTAGACCCTCCTTACCCTACTCTACTTTTCTCCCAGAGCATCTAAAAACTGCAGCCTGTCTATTATCTGGTGTCTCCACCCCGAGAAAGAAGCTCCTGAGCTCAGGGGTTGTTGTTTTGCTCCCTGTGTTGTCCATTTGTCAGATGAATGGGCCAGATGCTGAGTTTCTTCCTGGACTTCAGGGCTCAGAGCTTAGGCCTGTGCCTCCCTCCAGGGATCCAAGTTCTGGGTGGAATATGGCACAGTCTGTTCAGAGAGACTTTCCAGGAAATACAGTATCCTTCTATTCTTGTCCTCTCTTCTAAATCCCAGTGGGCTGCATCTCCAAAGCAGGCCACCAAGTTGAGGGCAGGAGCCTCTTTTACCCACTGCTCACCACCCGTCTCAGCCAAGCTGATCCTCTCTCCACACCATCAGTGACTGTTGTGTTTGTTCCACAGACGATGAGCTTTTCAGTGGTGAAAACGGAGTGGATTTGCTAATTGAAGACCAGCTCTTGAGACATGATGACCTGCTGACCAGTCCCATGCAGAGGCCAGGAGCCACCCATCACAGTGCTGCTGTGACAGCTGCCCCAAGTGTCCAAACCATGCCCCAGTCCTCAGCGCCTGCCACCGAGCCTGCTTTCCAGGACTCAGTGGGACAGCTCTCACCAACACTCCAGACCACCTCAGTGGTCCCAGATTCCATGAGGGAACCACCTTCTGCTCAGGTCCCTTCTACCACCGTGGCCCACACAGCCACCCAGCTACCTCCAACCTCAGCTGCTCCAGCCTCAGCAACTCCTGGAGATGTGTTTGGTGAAGCAATGTACATAGCTCCTGTGCCACCCACCATGGTCAGGACAGACTCACTGGGGAAGGATGCAACTGCCGAACAGGGGACAGCCCCAGCTAGCCCCACCCTGACCCCTGAGGAAGAAGATGACATCCGGAATGTGATAGGTGAGTTCATCCCACCTTCTCCTGGTCTCCCAGGCAGCTCAGGTAACAGAAAGAAAGATGTAATTTCTCATCAAGAAAGGCAAGGGGATACAGCTCATGATTGAGGCTTGTCTGGCATGTGCAGAGTGGTGGGTTCATCCCCAGAACTGCCAAAGCAAAAGCAAATGAAACAAAAAGAAAGGCAGGTGGAGTTACACCCTTGACCAATAATTAGTGTCAATATCTAAGGGTTATGTTTTTAAAATGTGACCAGAACAATGGTGGGAATCTCCTTTTTGAGATATATAAATGAATGGAGCCAAGACCTTGCCTACATCCATCAGTTTTGTAAACATTTATAGAACAGGCTTTGTGATGGGAATCAAAGTATCTATACAGTGGTCAAGTTTTCCACAGTGAGTTCATCAGGCCATGAAATAGCAAAGGATTCCCACAGAGGGAATGTCCCAGGATCATATGAGAGTGGGAGCAAAAGGATGAAAATCAGTATAGTGGGCCCTGGCACAAAACCTGTGGAGGCCCAGCCCTGGAGAACATAGAAACTGTTGTGGCCTCATGTGACAAATGCTGTCATGGAGGAGTGGCAAAATAGTGAAATGAAAAAGGGAGCACTATGTTGGTCTGGCTGCTAGGAAGGCTGGGGGATGTTTTTAAAGGAGGTACGTGAGCTGGGTTTTGCAGAATGAATAGGATCTTTCTATGTAGGAAATGGAAGTCCTCTGACCTTTAGATCTAAAGAAGTAATGTGTGTTCCAGGTGTGTGGAGGATACAACCCTGCTCTATGCCTGGGTGCTCCATGACCTCAAGACGACTCAGAATAAAGGGACTGAGGGGGCATGGATGAAGTTACAAGTATCTCTTCCAAAAAGAATTAAACCAACCATTTATTAAGTCACCACTGAGAGTGACTAAAAAAATACTATTTTTTTTTTTTTTTTTTTTTGTTTTGGTTTTTCTCCGGTACCGGGAACCGAACTCACGACCTTGCACTTGCCGGGCAGGCGCTTTGCCGCTGAGCTAAATCCCCAGCCCCTAAAAAAATACTATTGAGTAATCATTTTATCAAAATATGTATTGAAAAATATACTCACTTTGGGAGAGGACATGATTTGCCTTATACATATCTTTCCCTTTCCTCCATTTCTGTTCCCTTGGCTGCTCTGTTCCCAGTTCTTTGGAGAAAGTGCCAGCCTCTGCCAGAGACAGGGTGGAGGAGCATGTGCCAGGAGCCACCAACCTAGGTATAGCCTGGTCTCTGCCACTGACAGCTGTGTGACCTTGGCCAAATCTCTGCCTTTCTCTGGGTCTCAATTGAAAGTAGTTTTGTAAGGGCCATGTCTTCCATTGTATCCTCTAGTTTTCTGCAAGAGGTTTACCAGGCCTTCATATACCAAGGGATACTCACTGGGTGAAAAACCCTGGAATAATGACTGAGGAGGGGGAGTAGCCAGTGAGAGAGGAGCCTAGAGCCACATCTCCTAAGCACTGGGCTGGAGGATGTGGAGCAGGAAAACAGTCCTTCCTTGGACCGCTGAGGTTGGGTAAGGTGCAGGAGAATGTTTTAGTTTCTTTTCCTTCTATGGAGAGAAAAGGAAACCAGAGCAGGTCACTTCCCCACCTTGCGGGTAGGCAGTGGGTCCCGCATAACCTCTGCAGAGCACTCTGAGGCTGAGCCAAAGCTCCTACTTCCACCCCAGCTCCAGGCAGCCTTGGAGCATAGCCCCTGAGTCCCGTACACCACCCCACCCTCTGCTGTGGTGTGAGCTCCATGAGCCCCCATACCTCACCCTTCAGCTATGGTCACCTTGGGTGGGAGGAAAGTTCCTCTTGATTGTTAGAAATCTGCCTGCCTCCCATCATGGGTAACCAGAAGACAGGCGACCACCTCCACCTAGGCGCCTGTACCCAACCTCTCTGTCTGCCTCCCCTGGATTTGGCTACCAATGAGATATTCCAGTGTTGTTCCTGACTTGGACCTTTCTGAAGCTCATAGGACTCCAAACAGAAAAACTCCAATGTTTCTCGAAAAGACATTTACTTGGTGGTGGGAGCTGGGGGACCAGGACACATTTTCTCTTGTTGGTTGACATTCTCCTCCACTAGAATCACAGCCACACAGAGGACCTCAGGCTCCCTTAAAGACTAGGTGGTAGGGTTTGTGAAAGAGCTGGGCTCCTGCCTCTGGCTTCTACTCAGAAAAAATCTTGGATGTGGCCACAGATGAAGTGTTTCCTTCAGATACCAAGGGTGGGGCTGGGGTGGCACAGATGAGAAAGATACGGTCTCGCAAGCAACATGGAATTTTGAAGAGTTTGTGTGGGGGAAATATTTTATATCATTTATCATTGTCAAGTGCCTCTAGCTGGCTGTTGATAGCAAAAATGGCATTCCCGTTCTGGAACCTTCTCTGCGGACCCCCTGACTTGGCTGTGTCTGGCCAAGGGAGACTGTGATGTGGTGACATCTCCCAGTTAAGTAAGACTCATTTGGCTGAAGCAGACACAGGCCTCTGACTTGCTGCTGGGGAAAAGTTGTTCACTGCTTGATGGCAATTCTGACTTTAGAGCTCAGATGCAGTTTTAAATGAGGCTGCTTTTGAAAGGGACCTTGTATTCCATCATATTCCAGCCCTGATTTTGTTGCCCACGCTGGGTTTGTCCTAAAATGCCTAAGGTTACTCTTGGAGGAATTTTAAATCCTCAGAAAAATTCCAAACACAGGGAGATTAGAATTCAGTTTTGGTTGTGCAAACAAACCTTTGGCCACAGCATAGCTGTAGGACAGGGGGAGGAGAGATGGGCGGTCCTGGAGACAGGAGCTGGGCTCCGGGAAGAAGCGATGAGCACGGATGTGGCTCCCCTGCCCGCAGCCGGGCTTGTGGGGTGGTTTGCTGGGCTATGCGGCCACAGCTCAGCAGATTCCCAAAGTTTATCGGGGACAATTCTCCATGTGATTTTTAGAAGGGACCGGTTTGGGGGCAGGAAGGAACAGACAAAGAGGCCAGTGAGTTTATGACAATACCAGAGAGAGCCAGTTTCACATTTGAATCTAGGAAATACCATGATCAGAAAAGAATGTCTCCCCAACAAAGCACACAGTCTTAGCAACCCCTAGGCTTGACCTGCCCCTCCAGCTAGGGGTGGGACAGCCAGGCCGGCCTAGGTCAGGAGGGACAGGGACACTGGCGGGGTGAGAGCAGCACTTTCCAGAGACTCCACAGTACCCAGCCTCTTCCCATTGTCCAATCAGTCTGCTTCCCCAGATCTCCTCTGCCCACTCACACTCTGGTGACTCATCTGACCCAGCCCCCTAGGCCACTGGGAACTTTTTTTTTTTTTTTTTTTTTTTTTGGTTTTTCTCCGGTACCAGGAACTGAACTCACGACCTTGCGCTTGCCAGGCAGGCGCTTTTGCCGCTGAGCTAAATCCCCAGCCCCGCCACTGGGAACTTCTATTGTCACATAGCCTGGGCCCCTGGCCCTTGACATGAGAAGTTAGAGCAGACAGGGACCAAAGTCTGAGTCTCTGAGCAGGATAAGGACTGCACAGTAGTTCACTTACCCGAGTGAGCTCCTAGCAGAGGCAACAGTGAGAGGCAAGACGGGTGAAGGAAAGAAAGGCCACAGACCAGGACAGGGCGGAGCCCGATGAAGAGACTGAGGGTGCACAAACCATGTGCAGAGTGAGTCATGAGTACTAAGAGCCACTGATGTGTGGGTGCTGCTGGCCTCAGGACCCAGGAACAGATCCTCAGGGCCATCCCAGACTTGCTTACAAGCTATGTGTGTGAGATGAACGCAGAAATATGGTTTCACCTGGGTGGTGAGCGCAGGGGTGAGGGAATGCACAGGCTGCTGAGGGGTGTGGGGGAGCTCCAGGCAGCCTGGGATGCTTCACAGTCCCTGTGCTGACAGAGCCATCTTGAAAGACAAAGGGAAATGAGGCAGGTGAAGGAGAGAGCAGTATTGTAGTGCAAAGGACCAGCGCCAGCAAAAGCAGCTGACGTGAAACAGCACAGGAGGACCACTGCAGAATTTGCAGGGCTGGGTGCGGAATGAAAAAGCAGAGAAAAGACTACTAAACATAGTACATATAAAGCGTCCTTCACTCTCCCAGGGGGAGAGGATGTGTGTCTCGCCCCTCCATGCAGTGCTTTTTTTATTTGCTTTTTCCTGATGGTATGAATAGAAAAATATTAAAACTTTAAATTACTAGCAGGAATTTTACCATTCATCCTTATATAGTGCAATGTCAGTTTTGTTTAGTTTTTTGTTTTTCTTTTGCAGTACTGGAGATTAAACCGAGGGAGTGCTGAACTATGTCCCTGGTCCTTTTTATTTTATTTTGAGACAGGGTCTCACTAAGTTGCCCAGGCTGGGTTTGAATTCATGATCCTCCTGCCTTACCCTCCAGAGTACTATAGCTGAGTGTGATTATAGATAAGCGAGCACAGCCATGCCTGGTGTACATGTACCTTCTCAAGGCTAACATGAGGTCTTTTAACTTACATGCAGAATTCACCAAATGACGCAGTTCATATTCCAGGGCCCCCACGTACACTTGTAGTTTGTTCTGACCAGCTCAGTGCCTCGCTACACACAACTCACCCACTGCTCCTGTCACACTTCATCCATGCACATTGACCTACATGCCCTCTTTCTGCTCCTGAGGCAGGAACGACTAAAAAGAAAAGCAGCTCTGGGTGCCCCTGCCTTCTCTTCTGCATCATGCTCGACCTGATGTCTAGCGAGAAAGGACAGGGTCCTTTTTTCTACTTTCCAGCCAAGCCCTGGTTGGTGTGAATGTGGTTCAGAGGCCATGCATTGTGCTCGGCTTGAGCCTGCTGCGCTCCCTGCCTGAGGGTCCCCTCAGAATCCCATGTCCAGTGGCCACAGCAAATCCTATATGCAGACGGGCCCAGGAAGACAGACATGGGTATTTCACATCTTGCTCTGTCCACCTTTGTCCACTGTCACGTTACACTTCACTTACAAAACACAATTCCAAGAGTAAATGAAAAATTTTAAGATAGCAACAGCAGAGCATTAAACCACAGACAAACCCTTCTGAGAGGGGGTGTGACTGCCCAGGTCAGACTCCCATAAAGCCAGCTCTGGGTGGGGCACACACGCGGATGCCCAATCCATACAGCTATCAAGAGCTCTTGGTCAGATTCACCCTGAGATGGGTTCTCACAGTTTTAAATTTGACTGCTTTTGGTCCTCTGCTCCTGCGGTCCCTGAGACTCTGGTGCCACCTGTTCCCTTTCTGCATGGCCCCTGGAGGCACTGAGGGGAAGAGAAGAGAAGGGAAGGATGCAACTCCTTGCAGTGTGAGTGGAGAAGGGGACATCAGGACGACCCAGGTTTCTGGTTTGGTTAGTGGGTAATGGTCTCTCTCTCCCTCTCTCTCTCTCTCTTTTCCCTTCCCTCCTTCCTTCCTTCCCTCCTTCCCTCCCTCTCTCCTGGTACTGGGGATTGGTTCCAGGTTCTTCACACTGAGCTACATCCCCAGCTCTTTAATTATTTTTAATTTTGAGACAAGGTTTTACTATGCACCAAGTTGTTCGGGCTGGGCTCAAATTAACGATTCTCCTGCCTCAGCCTCCCAGAGTGCATGCGCCATCATGCCTGACTCAAATGGATTTCTTTGGTTAACTCCTCAAGTTTGAGGAATCAGGAGGACTCCCAGGAATACTTTAAGTAGGCCAGTAGATGTCCGATGCTTGGACACAAGACCTGTGCTACAGTTAGTAGTAAGAGCCGAACTTGCCCAGTGAGTGTCCAAGGGACAGAGGAGCGGGGCATGAGTGAAGCTCTGGAGCATAATATCTGGAAGGAAGCACAGGTAGCTGGAGAACTGGAGAAGGTGTGGCTGGGCAGCGGGGCAGGCACCTGAGATGGTGGCAGGTGTGTGGAAGCTGTGGGTCCCAGGGGTGGCCCACATTTCTGACCCAAGGAGAGGCTTGACTGGAACAAGAGGATGAGTGCATCTCTGTGGGGGCAGTGCCAAGCAAGGAAGGCAGCAATAAGCCAAGGGATGGAGAGGGCAGGCGTCACGAGTGACAAGGGGGAACCCTGCAGAGATACGGGCTAGGGCAGCATTCACCCACAGAAAGTGTTCGTAATGTTGGCCCTCACCGTCACCACTGTCCTGAGCAGCCCTGCTCTGGGGGGATCACAGAGGAGTCACAGACAGCACTGTTCTCTGTGCAGCTCCTCTGAACTGCTTCCTGTGCTGCTGACCTTAACCTTGAAGAGGAGACAGCGCACAGTGCTGATGTCTGCTGCCAATGGCAGGAGCCTGTGAACTGCCCTAGCCTTTTTGGGCAGGGTGGTGTATCTGGACCCCAGAGTCTGGACCTCCTCCCTTGCTCCTGTCTTCAGGCTTCTGCCTTAGTTCTGCCATTCCACCCTGCATGACTCCATCTGGGGCCACGTACAAATATATCCTGAGGTCCCAGGCACAGGGTCTCCGGGCCTGCAGGCTAGGCTCCCCTATTCCTACAGGAAATAAAGCCTCCTCCCCTAACTCCAGAAGCTGACTCCATCTGCATTAGTTTCCTGAACCTCCAATTTGCCATTAAGTCTACTGACTAAAAATGACAGAAATTTACTGTTTTAACAGTTCTGAAATTCAGAAATCCACAATTACAAACTTACAGGGCTAACACATCATGGTATCAGAGGCCTGGTGTCTTCCAGTGGCTCCAGGGAAGATCCATGTCTTGCCTTCTCCAGCTTCCTGTGGCTGCCAGCATCCCTTGGCTCGTAGCCACATCAATCCAGTCTTTCCTCTATCATCACATTGTCACCTTCTCTTCTGTAGTCACATCTCCCCAGGCCTTCCTGTTAAAAGAAGACTTGTGACTGCACTAAGAACCCATCCAGATAATTCAGGATAAGCTCCTCAAGATTCTTTTCTCCGGCCAGAGATATAGCTCAGTGACACAAGCACCTGCCTGGTGAATGCAAGGTCCTGAGTTTGATTCTCAGTGCAAAGAAAACCAAAAAACAAAAAAACAAACAAAAGAAAAACCCACATTGTTCTTTCTCTCTCCCCTGCCAACCTTCTCTTTCTACTATTTTGCCCAGGCTGACCTTTAACTTCGGATCCTCTTGCCTTAGCCTCCCAAGTAGCTGGGATTACAGGGGTGTACCACCATGCCCAGCTCTCCCAAGGATTCTTGACTGAATCACATCTGCCCAAGTTTCAGGAATTAGAGCCAAGTATCTTCAGGGACCATTACTCAGCCCACTGTGCCATCTACAGGATGGGTTCTCCAAGTTCTCCTGTGAAGTAGACAGGGCAGGCATTATACTTATTTGACTACTAGAAAATCAGTTCCATGGCCTTATGGAGGCAACACAGACTTTGGAGTCAGTACAGGGCCACAGCAAAGCCCAGGCCATTGGCTCCAAGTCTGGGCACTTCTGTACCCCACATTAGGGTCCTGCCATCGAGAGCCTCACTGTGCAGACAGGATCCTGGAGGGATCTAGGGGCCAGACTGAGTGGCCCAGATGTCAGAACTCAAATGAGTCCTGGCTTAGGGGGGGCCATCTGCAGCTTCCATGCCAAGCCAGCCAGGTGGCGTGGCCATGGAACCCCAGCAGAAACAGCTCTCCTAACCCAGCCACTTGGGGGGCTTTGGGGCATAGCTGGGAGATGTCTTTGAGACAAGGAATTGGTATCCTTGCTGGGCTTTGCCAGGAGAAAGGGCACATGCAGATGTGCTCTGCAGGGATGGTACGTGAAGGCACACCCTGGTGCAGGCAAGCATAGCCTCTTCATTGGCAGCCAGGGCCCTGTGTGGTGCCAGGGAATAAGATCTTTTCCATCTGACTCTGCCGCCAGGCTCAGCCAGAGACTTCTGTTTTATTGTCTTGAGCAGATAAGCTCCACGGTGGGGGAAGGAGGCAATGGCATGTGGGTTCTGTTGTTTGTCACATGGAGACTGGCTCTGTCTCCGCGTTGTCCGAGCTGGACCAAGAAACCTCACGCAGAGCTGCCCGGGCCTGCCAGCTGCACCCATCTGTGGGGCCTGCATGGAAAACAGTGTTTGTCCCAGACGCAGGGCCAAGGACACGGGGGCCTCCCCAGTCTGGCTAGCCGCAGGCCTCAGGCCACTTCCTCAGACCACTTCTGGAGAAAAGAATATGCAGTATGATCAAAATACTATATAAGGTGAATGTTTAAGTTAAAAAGTTTGTTACAGTACAAGACACATTGGCATTAATCCCCAGCAAAATACTCCCCCTCACTTCAAACACACTTAACTCGTCATTCCTGCCACATTCTAAAGCAGTTCTGCAAGTCTTCCTTCATATCTTTGTGAGGTGTGATCAAAAGGACAGTGAAGGCTGCTGCCGAGTCCCATTTAAAAAAAAAAAAAAGGAGGCTTGTAGAAACACTTCGGTGTGTCCTCTTCCACCTCATTCACCAGCTCTGGAACTGTGTGACTTCTGGCTCTTCCCTAAAGTCAAAATGGCCATGAAAGGTAAATGTTTTGAATCAATTTAAGACATCAAGATAGCCATGACAGTTCAACAAAAGACACCCATGAAAGAGGACATCCAGAACCGCTTCAGAAAGTGACAAGAACAATGGGACATTGTATTCGAAGTGAGGGGGAGTTTTTGAAGGGGTTAATGGGAATGTGTCTTTTACTGTAATTGTTTTTTTAAAAATTTAAACATTCACTATATTTCTCAGTCATACCTCATTGTATTGGAACAATTTGGACTTGGGGTGACCTGAATCAAGAGATCCCTGAGTCCAAACTGTAGGCCTATGCTACTTTTGTCCCAGAGGAATAGCAAGAACCGGTCATTCCAGTCTTCATTCCGCATCTGGGCTGCCAGTCTTTATGGCCAGGGACGGGAGGGGGCTGTCAAAGTCTGCTGTCTCTGCAGCCAGAAGGGGTAGAGGGGGCTGTGAGAGCAGGATCCATCTCGTCCCATCGCCTTTTCCTGTCACCACCATAGCCCACTAGTGTGGGGACAGCAAGGGTACATGCCTGTGGCAGTCAAGTGTGACTTCAGTATCATCCAAGGCCACGTTCAGGAACCATACTGCATATAAATGATTGCAGGCTTTCAAGCTGGCCTAGAACCAGTATCATTCTAGCGGCCTTTTAGGGCCTCTCCTGAGTACTGGGCCACTCTGAGCGGCACTCTGAGTGGCTGAGTTCTTGTCCCATTGATACCAACTGAAACTTTGAAGGAGGCTCCTGTGACCAGAGTGAGCTCCTTGTATAACTTGGGACCCTGCCCCTCCAGTCCTCCAGCAAGAGACCCTAGGGTCCTGCTCCCAGCAGTGACTGAGCTTCAGCTTGAGGGCAGCTCTCTAGGCCCTAGTGGGTGACCCCATAAGCACGAAAGCAGGGCTGGCCCTGGGTTGTGAGCTGCTAGCCCTCAGTGTCCCTGTTTGTGCCCAGCAGAGCGCTCTCCCCCACTTGCTTCTCACAGCCACATGCTCCCCAAAGTGTCAGGCCATCTGCCGGCACCCGCCACTTGCCAGACACCGTAAGCTCTGAGTACAAAGAGCGCAAAGAGGAGAAGCCACAGCCCCAGTCCCCTGGTGCTCACATTCTGGCTGGGATGGACTTGGAGGAGGAGGGAGGCACCGGCACTGGCGAGGGCACGCAGCTCTGTCCAGTCAGGGAGATACAGGCATGAGGCCAGGGGAGCAGGATGGAATGGAGCATGAGGACAAACTGGCTCTCCAGACCTCTTGGATCTTAGAACCTTGAGGGACAGGATTAAAAAGTCAGAAAACAACAGGTGCAAAGCACGCGGGCATGACAGAGCCTTTGTACAAGTACAGTGCAGAATAGATCAAGGCGGCAGCAGCAGAAGATGCTGGAAGGATGTCTGGGATCAGGCGGTGGGGCCAGTAAAGGCTGTCAGGAGTTCAGATCAAGGTGGGGAGCTGACAGAAGTCGCAGGGGTGGGAGTTATTAGATCATCCTGACACGCATCTACCTCTTTGCCCCCAGGAAGGTGCAAGGACACCCTCTCCATGATTACAGGACCAACTACCCAGAACACATATGGGCGGAATGAAGGGGCCTGGATGAAGGACCCCTTGGCTGAGGATGAGCGAATCTATGTAACCAATTACTACTATGGCAACACCCTGGTGGAGTTCCGGAACCTGGAGAACTTCAAACAAGGTATGTGTTGGGACCCAACTCAGAAAGCTTTTCCCTGCCCCATTGCCCTCTGCCTTTGTTTTGTTGGTTGCCTTGTTGATTGGTTTATGCAGTGCTGGGAACTGAACCTAGGCTCTTCTCACTGAGCTACATCCCCAGCCCTTTCTTAAAATGTTTATTTATTTTGAAACAGGGTCTCAATCACTGAATTGCCTGGGTTAGGCTCAAACTTGAGAACTTCCTGTTTCGGCCTCCCAGAATGCTGGGATTACAGACATGCATAAGCACATCCAGCTTGTCCTTTGTCTGAATCATGGCCAGGCCTCTTTGGGTGGTGACAATAAGTGAGATGAGTGACATGGTCTAGTGGTGAAAGAACCTTTCCTGGAAATGTGATCCCCCATCCAATCTCCCTCTCATTCCCTGCTCTCAGCTCTCCCCTCTTTTCCAGCTCCCGGGACATGGGATGACCCTTGAGTCCTGCCAAAAGACAGCAATAAAACATCCTCCTTTTCCCATAGCTCTTGACAGTTTACAAATCACACTCAGATATTAGCGCTTTGGATCTTTGAAGCCCCAAGTGAGGCAGAAGGGAAATGCTCTCACACATGACAGATGATACCAAGATGTAGAATGGTTATATGATTTGCTATAGAAAGAGCAGAGCTGATACACAAGCCCAGGTGTGTAGACCCCTGCTGACAGCTCATCCCCTCCCAGGAGCCACCTGGCCCCTCCACAACACTGCCCTCAAGCCCTTGCCTTTTCACACCCCACAGGTCGCTGGAGCAATTCCTACAAGCTCCCGTACAGCTGGATTGGCACTGGCCACGTGGTGTACAATGGCGCCTTCTTCTACAACCGGGCCTTCACTCGCAACATCATCAAGTATGACCTGAAGCAGCGCTATGTGGCTGCCTGGGCCATGCTCCACGATGTGGCCTATGAGGAGGCCACACCCTGGCGGTGGCAGGGCCACTCAGATGTGGACTTTGCTGTGGACGAGAACGGCCTGTGGCTCATCTACCCAGCCCTGGATGACGAGGGTTTCAGCCAGGAGGTCATCGTCCTGAGCAAGCTCAATGCTGTGGACCTGAGCACACAGAAGGAGACCACATGGCGCACGGGGCTGCGGCGGAATTTCTACGGCAACTGCTTCGTCATCTGTGGGGTGCTGTATGCCGTGGACAGCTACAACCAGCGGAACGCCAACATCTCCTACGCCTTCGACACCCACACCAACACGCAGATCGTCCCTAGGTTGCTGTTTGAGAATGAGTATTCCTACACCACCCAGATAGACTACAACCCCAAAGACCGTCTCCTGTATGCCTGGGACAATGGCCACCAGGTCACTTACCATGTCATCTTTGCCTACTGACACCCTAGTCCCTGGAAAAAAGAAGCAAAGAGGGGCCACTAGCACCTTGTGTGTATGTGTGTATGTGTATGTGCCTGTGTGTGTGTAGGTGGGTGTGTGCTGTTTAAAAATGTATATTATTTTGTATAATATTACAAATGTAAAATGACAATTTGGGTCTATTTTTTTTTAAGTGCGGATTGTAGATCAATCCATTGCGTATGTGCTGGTCTCACCCTCTACGGTTTATATTTTTGCGCAAATGAACTTCTCCTTTTGACCAGATGGCCACCTTCCTTCGTGCCTCCCACCCCTCCGGCTGCCAGGTCTCAGCTGGTGGGGGTGTCTTCATCCAGGTCTTGTAAGCGAGCACCAGGGCAGGAGTGAAGGAGGAAAGTGGCAGAAAAAAGTTTCATGTATTGGAGAAGTTCCAAAAACCCAGAAAAATGCTTTTTTTTTAAATAAAGAAGAAGTTTAAACTCTTCCCCCAGTGTGCTCTGTTTAGCAGGGATGTGTCTAGCCAGCTGCTGGGTGCCTCACCAGACTCTAGTCTGGTGTACCCCAGAAGTGTTCTCCTCCTGCGTCCAAATGCAGATCCAAGACCTCCCTCTCTCCTGCTGAGCCAGAGGGATTTGAAACAAGCTGACCTTGCATTTTTTAAAAATTTTGTGACACTGCTCCATGACTCACACTTATGACTTTAAAAACATTTAAACATTAGACTTCTTGATTCAGTCTGGATTCCCTTAAACCCAATGTATCTTACTTGTTCTCTTCCAAACCAGGACTGCCTAGTGCTTATGAGACATCTCCATTTGCCAGCCTTTCTTCCCACACAGATAACAATGTCTGCACTCCTCTCCTCCTATAGGAAAAGCTGCCTCTGGTCTCCTGTAAGATCTTTTCACCTCAGTCCCATGGTTGGGGTGGACTTGGTAGAGGGGAAGGAAGCTTGGTAGCATTATTAGCATCTTACATAATGAAGGACTTTGTCAAAACTGAGACGCCAACACTGATAAATCACTGTCAGCTTGGGTCAGTGATGTCTCTGCAGTCTGCGACAGTTTCTCCCTGTTCTCTTAGACCACTGTTTTGCTGAAGAGACGACCCTTGGTTTTCTGAGAAATACATCTTTCTGGTTTCTGCTGATGGCTTCCTCCAAGTCTTTTCTCCCTGCTTTTCCTTTAAAGGCTTAATTAGGGTCAGGTTAGACATTTTTGGCAGAAGACTTCACAGCGGTGCTGTGAACAGGATTTTCCACATTCCCTACTATTCCTACCGCCCTTGTCAGCCTCACCTGTCTCCAGGCTCCCTTTCCACTCACTGCTGACAGATGTATCTGGCTTTGATCATGTCTCAGTAACCACTGGGGACACACCAGGTCTCCTGGGTGGTGATCATCAGGCAACTTGATTTTTTCCCATCAGTGTCCCACAAATGAATCGTATTTGGTTCAGTTCTTTTCCTGCTCCTGTGGGAAAACTTAGACAGTCCCCTTGACTTCTTTGGTAACTCTTAGGTCATTAAATACTCTCCTATAACCACTTTAATTTAGAACCTAAACTTTACAGTTTTAGTTGAGTAATTGAAAGGCCACTTTAACAGTCAAAATATTGAACTGGGTTGCAGATTGCTGCTCCAGCCCCAGCTGTCCCCACAAAGGCCTGTTGTAGACAGGAATTCTGGCATTGTGAGGAGAACACTCACTCCCCCAGATGACTGACTTTGGTGTTGGTCCCTCCAGAGGAGAGCAGGAAAGAGAACAGAGGGACAAACAACAACAACAGCAAACTTGACTGGTAAAATTCTGTGGTCCGGCTCTTCTGAGAGGTATTTAACATATTCTCCTGAGCATTTTTGAGGTGGGTTTTTTTTTTTTTTTTTTTTTTGGTTTTTCTCCGGTACCGGGAACCGAACTCACGACCTTGCGCTTGCCAGGCAGGCGCTTTTGCCGCTGAGCTAAATCCCCAGCCCCGAGGTGGTTTGATTGATTGATTGATACAGTCCTAAGGGTGGAAGAAAGGGCACTCTACCACTGAGCCACACCCTCATTCCTGTTTACTTTGAGATAGAGTCTCAATAAGTTGCTGGGGCTGGCCTCAAAGTTGGGATCCTCCTGCCTCAGCTTTCTGAGTAGCCAGGACGCCGGTGCAACACCACACCCTGCTCTTGTGTGCCCTTTGAAGAACTGCGCCCCTTTTGCCAGGGACACTTTGCCATTTTCTCTTCCCATGGACTAACGTATCTCCATTCTGGCCAGCTGTCCACCCCTTCCTAAGCACCTAGACAGCTCGTGCTGCTTCCAGCTGCAGTGGCCAAATGGGATGGGACCCAAGATCATCCCACATCTGGTTCACAGAACATTCTTATGCATTATTTATCCCAACAAAGTCTGCAATTGCAGGTTGGTTCCCAACTAGGTCATCTTTGCTAAAAAGTAGTCAGCCAGCCCATATTCCTTCCCTAGGTCTCTCAAAAGGGAGTCAATCACTGGTCCACCATGGTCCCCAAACTACAAAAACAAAAAGCTAGATGAATATCCCAAGAGGTCAGATTAAAGCTCTCTCTCCTTACCCTTGTCTGAAGGGCAGACACACCCCACCCCAGGGAGCGGGAGGGACTCAGCAAAGCTCTCTCCAAAACAATCTTCTTCAAACATTCTCTTGATTTTTTTTCCCAACTCTTAATATTTTCATGCTTTTAATGTGGGTTCAAAAGTCTCTGACTGATTTCCGGACCCCTCCTGGTGAATACTGCACGTGGTGTGGCTCATCCTTTGGAATGTGAGATCTGGTGCCTCCTCGGGTGGGGCTGAACTCCCACTCCCTCATCCTGTGGTAGCTCCCAGTTCTCCATGCCAGGCCACCTCCGGCTCTTCTTAACACCTCAGACTGTTAAAGAACCAGACCAGTCAAAGACTTGTCCAGTTCCTCAGCCAGAGCAATGGTAGCCCGTAATATGTACACAGCCACCAACCGTGCTGGGCTCCTATTGCTCTGATGTGTGAACAGGTGTTCTCTGCCCAGTGAGAGTCTCTCTCCCAGAAGGTAGAGGCCGCTCCTTATCCACGTGGGACCCTTCACAGCACTGAGAAAAGTCTATCCCTGGTCCTTAGGGATCTGGGGAATGAGACAGAAATGTATTTGGGCCACAAAAATTTCAGATCAGTGACTTCACAAACCGGAACCTGATGAAAGCCGCAGATCTTCCTGCAGTGCTCTTTCAGGAAGCCACTCACAAATGGTGTGTTCCTCCAGGTTCTCCCACGTATAGGCTCTTAGTCAAAGCTCAGCATCTCAGCTGGTCTTAGTGTGGGCATGCGGAAGCACGGGGAAGCTGAGATTCAAGCTGAGCAGACTTCTGGACACATGCTGGGGAAGAATCCCTGCAGAGGCCAACAGTTGCTCCGCCTGTCACCAGCTAGTGTGGGTCCTGGCATTTAGTAAGGATGGAAATTAAAATTAATGCACAAATTCACAGAAGAAAAAAGTTTTAGTTACTGGGAAGCCAGCTTTCAACGATTAAGTGATGGACTGGGCTCCTGTTGTCATTATCTCAGTCCTGGTGTTATGGTTCTGGAATCTTTATGATTGAGGGATGGCTTCACTCCCAGGAAAGAATTGCCCATGTTTGTGGTGGTCTCATCATATGGTGGCTACCTTTGCTGAAATCCAGGTGATCACAGGTTTGGGATCATTACTGGAGGCTAGTTGAATAACCCCGGAAATCCCCTATCTTGGTGTCATCAATCTTGGACTGGTGAGGATATGTACATTTAGGGCTAAGGAGAGATTTGACTCAGGATGTATAGTTGTCTGAGCAGCCCACTGGGATGGTAACCCAGCACCAATAATAAACTAGGGATTCAAAGCTTAATGAAAGGAAGATACTTCATTTGTAAAGAATCAGGGTAGGGGGCTCCAGAAAGATGGAGGACCCCTGGGCCCTTTGTTCTCCACTGTTTTTATGGGTGGGGGGATGAGTGAGTGGTCCTTCCGCCCTCTACCCGGAATTAGCCATAACTGGATTGGTTTCTGTTTAATGTCATTTCTTCCATGGCCTATGTGCAGCTTTTTTTTTTTTGTCTGTTTGCTCATCCTTGACATATGTTTTAAGGTCTTATCTTCGTGGTGGGTGGCTAGTTAGCAAGGCGGTACCTTATTCATGGTTAGCTTGGAGTTAGTAAGGGAGTGTATGGATCTCTATTGTAGTCTCTAATGACCCTAGAGTGAATAACATAGTGAAAGCAGAGTGGATATACATGTATAAGTGCATACGTTCGAGGGTAGGTGTGATTATGTACTGCCTAGAAGTTAGTCAGCCCCCCCAATTTATTTCCCCTTTATTTTACTGGAGGTGGGAGTGGCTTATGGAGGTAGGAGTGGCTTATGGTTTGTACACTTGGCTTTCTCTGTATCCTGCCTGTCAGCTCTTTTTCTGGTCTCTTGGTGCAAGCCCCAAGGCCATATGGTGCCTTTCTTTACCTTTTTTTTTTCCCTTTTTCTACCCCTGTATTTTACCCGCTTCCTAGGGGCATCTCTCCAGTAAAGTTTATTTTTAACACTTTCTCGTCAGGATTACCTAAAAGACCTAAGAAGTCCCCTGTTTTATTTTTTTGTTTATAGATCCCTGTCCTTACAAAAGGATAAAATGAAAGCCAGATTTTCTTCTGCTTTTAGTTACCTATTAGGCACTGGTAGGTCCAAGGGAAGAGTCATGGTTCAGAGCAAAATGGCTCTGAAGTGCCTGGATATCCCAAGAGAAAACACAAATCATGCTCTTAAAAAGCAGCAGGTAAGGGCCAGGATTGCACCTGTTTCCCCACTCCTATAGTGACCCCTGACTGTGCTACTGTTCTTGTACAAATAAAATGGGCTCTGTTGACCTACTTCAGAGAGAAGGTCCCAGTTTACTCCTTAGGTGGGGGTCCTCATTTAGGCTTTTTTTTTATTTGAGACCTTGAGGTTTTTCCAACCCCTCTCCCATGGTCTGAACTTTATATGGGCACTGGACCTTATCAGCACACTTGTGGGAT